GGTAAAGGATGCAGTGAGCCGAGATCGCACCACTGCACTCTCCAGCCTGGGCCACAGAGTGAGACTCTGTTGTGAGTGTGCAGTTAATCATGTAGGCTTGTGCTGATGTCAATGTAAGGCAAGTACTTCCTCATTGCTCTACATCAGTGACAGGATGTGAATGCCAAGGTTTAGACTGAGAAGTAGGGCAGGGAGATTGGAGGGAGGCCAACTTTAAACATTTCATGTCTTAATTTCTGCTTACTTACCCCCAAAAGAATGTTGTAAATCAATTTACTTCTTCGTGTTTTGACATCTAAAATATTTCCCGACACGTTTAAATAGTTGTAAAGGATATATTTTACAGTAAGCGGTAAATATTAACATTTGAAAATAAACTTACTTTATCACTCTTATAAATGCACCCAATGGACTCTAATATCAAAGCAATTTAGTACCTATCATTGTCTACTTTGAAATTACAGAAACTCGGTTGGGCACAGTGGCTCACTCCTGTAATCTCAGCACTTTGGGAGGCAGAGTGGGGAGGATTGCTTGATTCCAAGAGTTCAAGACCATCCTGGGCAACATAGTAGGACAACCTTATCTCTACAAAAAAAAATGAACAGAATTAGTAAGATGTGGTGGCACACCAGTGATCCCAGCTATTCGGAGGCTGAGGTGGGAGGATCTCTTGAGCCTTGGAGGTGAAGGCTACAGTGAGCCAAGATTGCGTCACTGCACTCCAGCCTGGGTGACAGAACGAGACCCTAACTCAGAAAAACTCTTTAAAATTTTTTTTAAAAAGAAACTCCAGAAACTCCTATTTATTGGTTCTGAATATATCATCTTTATATCATTTCCTTTTCACCTTGAATTCATATTCTTATTCCCACAAAAGTTTATCTTCATGAGATAGATTTGTTAGTCATCTATTGTATATCTTTGCAACAAAATGTATATAAATTGATAATTTTTTCTTTTTTTTTAAGCCACCAAGATTTGCAGATATATTTCTTTTTTTAATGACCATAGTCTCTAAATGTTAAAAAGAAAAAAAGCTGGTCAGGTACAGTGGCTCATACCTGTAATTCCAGCATTTTGGGAGGGTGAGGCAGGTGGATCATGAGGTCAGGAGTTCAAGACCAGCCTGGCCAACGTGGTGAAATCCTATGCCCGGCTAATTTTTGTATTTTGTACAAAAATTAGCCGGGCATAGGATTTCTACAAAATACAAAAATTAGCCAGGCACAATGGCAGGAGCCTGTTATCCCAGCTACTTGGGAGGCTGAGGCAGGAGAATCGCTTGAACCCAGGCGACAGAGGTTGCAGTGAGCCAAGATTGAGCCACTGCACTCCAACCTGGGCAACAGAGTAAGAGTCAGTCTCAAAAGAAAAAAAAAGAAAAGAAAAGAAAAAAGCTTATCTGGATTATTATTGTAATTATTAGTATGCAATTCATCAAAACAAATATTTCATAACTTTTGATAAACAATTTTTCAACATAAAAAGCTCAATTTCACTGGAAATGAATCTTTTTATTTACTATTTATTTATTTTAAAACACACCTCTGTTGCACAGGCTGGAGTGCAGTGGTGCAATCTCAGCTCACTGCAACCTCCGCCTCCCAGATTCAAAGTGATTCTCCTGCCTCAGCCTCTCAACTAGCTGGGACAATAGATGCACGCCATCATGCCCAGCTAATCTTTTAGATTTTTAGTAGAGGCAAGAGTTTACCATACTTGCCAGACTGGTCTACAACTCCCAGCCTCAAATGATCCGCCCGCCTCGGCCTCCCAAAGTACTGGGATTACAGGCATGAGCCACCACACCCAGCCTGGAAATGCATCTCTTAAACTGGATGGAGCTTCTCTCTTCTTTTGATGACTGCAGCTGTCTGCAGATGAACGTGTCTTCTTCCCGCATGGAGACAGGACCTAGTGCCTCCGCTGCTCCTGTTGTCCATGTTTTGGGGTGAGGCTTTGCAATGGGCCTGGAAGGAATCCCAAAGTGTCACTTCAACTGGAGTCTTTGGATTCTGTCTGATTTATAGGTCAAAAGCTATTTAGTTAATGTTTATCAAATATTATCTCTAGTTGTTGAGCATGATGTGAAAGGAAAATAAAAAAGTTGTGACTCCAATTCGCTCTGCCCAAAGAAAAAAAATTAAGCTGAAAGCTGAGTCACGCAAGAAGCTGCCTTTCCAGGCCAGGTGCCGTGGCTCATACCTGCAATCCCAGCACTTTGGGAGGCCGAGGTGGGCAGATCACAAGGTCAGAAGATCGAGTCCATCTTGGGCAACATGGTGAAACCGTGTCTCTACTAAAAATACAAAAATTAGCTGGGTGTGGTGGCATGTACCTGTAATCCCAGCTACTCAGGAGGTTGAGGCAGGAAAATCCGCTTGAACAGAGGTTGCAATGAGCCGAGATTGTGCCACTGCACTCCAGCCTGGCAACAGAGTGAGACTCCATTGCAAAAATGGCAAAAAAAAAAAAATGCCTTTCCCTTTGTTCGTAAGCAGAGAGCTACAGGTAAAAGATTAAATATCCCTCCAGCTACGCAATGTTCACCTTATCTTCTATAAAGTGCTGATTTTCTGAACATCCAATCTTTTTTTTTTTTTTTTTTTAAGACAGAGTTTCGCTCTTGCTACCCAGGCTGGAGTGCAGTGGCGTGATCTCGGCTCACTGCAACCTCTGCCTCCTGGGTTCAGGCAATTCTCCTGCCTCAGCCTCCTCAGTAGCTGAGATTACAGTTATACGCCACCATGCCCAGCTAATTTTTTGTATTTTTAGTAGAGACGGGGTTTCACCATGTTGACCAGGACAGTCTCGATCTCCTGACCTCGTGATCCACCCACCTCGGCCTCCCAAAGTGCTGGGATTACAGGCTTGAGCCACCGCGCCCGGCTGAACATCCAATCTTGTCACCACTATCTCTTTGGAAAATGAAGTACTGGGGATTGTACCCAGAGTTGATTGAATCAGTAAAGGGAAAAGCAAAGGCAGGAGGTGCCAGTGTGCTGAGCAGACCCCTTGGGGAGTAGCAAGCAGGCTCTGCTGCCAGGTGACCAGTTGCTTAGAAACTGGGAAAATTCACCTGAAATGATTATTTATGAAGTTCAAGCATATATTCACCCTGAGCAAGAAGAGTTTATTTGATTTCATTAAAATCATAACTGCATGGAAAACAGTATGTTTGTTTTTCTTTTTAAAGAGATAAGTTGGTAAAAAATAAAGCATTTGTATTGCATGTATGTGCTTTCCTCTGAAGTTAAACTGGGGTTGTAACCAAAAGCTTCCTTCTATAACCAGCTCTGTACCAGCTTCCTGTAACTTACATCTTTATGACAATGATAATCAAGAATAAATACATGAACCAAAGCTGGGTCTTCCTATTCTAGTTCTGTTGCTGTTTGTCATTTCAGGGAAAGGAAGTTGAAAGAAAGAAGACCGGGTTCATCCTACAAACTGTGAGAGTGTATTGCATGCCCTGCAGGGTGCACATCAACCCATTGCCACGTTCAAGAATCTTTGACTTGGACAAAGCAGAAATTTAGAATGTTTACTGCTTTGGGGACTTTCCTTCCATTGTAAACAATGATTATGGAGAAGCATGCATTTCTCTGATTCTTTGTTGGCCTGCTGGCCTCTTGACCCACTTCCTCAAATGTATAATGGTTGTCATATTAAATGTTCCCCTTGACTAAGCAAAGCATGGAGTGTCTAGTTACACTTCCTCTTCAATGGGGAAATGCTTATTTTTTCTATTTGTAGAACTTAAAAGCAAACAGTTGCCCGATGAAAAAAATTACTTAGTTCACCCTCCTACAGTGTGGAAATGGATAATTCCGAATTATTATCAAGCATTTCTTTTGGAGGTGGTATAAAGTTCAGATTTGCAATTAGGCACAAAATAAAGTCTTGAAGGGGTAGGTACTCCAGGCACAGTAAACCCAATTTGAATCTCACCTCTGCCACCTACTGGCTGTGGACTTTGGCCAAATAACTTTATGTCTCTGTACTTAAAACCCCAAGAAGTGCTTGGTAAGTATTATAATTAGAGTAATAAAGATAAAATCGGCATGCCCATGGTCACACCAGTGTCATGGGGACATTGTAAACAGAAATGATGATAAGCATGCAGCTTCTAGCACAGTTCATGGTTAAAATATTATCTGGATGATTCTAGGGTCATGGGCTTCAGACACATTTTTTCTTTTTTCTTTTTTTTTTTTTTTTCAAGAGAAATAGCGTCTTGCTATGTTGCCCAGATTGGTCTTGAACTCCTGGGCTCAAGTGATCCTCCTGTCTCAGCTTCCCAAAGTGCTGGGATTACAGGCATGAGCCACTGCATTCAGCCAAGACACATTTTTTACACACACACACACACACACACACAGTCTTCCATTATAAAATGGAGAGGTACTGAGGCTGATTGGAAACCAAATCAGACGGTCCCACTCTTCAGTCTTTCCCATCACTGTAAGTGGGAGCTCCTTTCTTCCAGTTGCTAAGGTCGAAAACCTTGTGCCACCCCTGACTCCTGCCTCTCTCCTGCCCCACGTTCTATCTGTCAGGAAATCTCACCCATGCTACCAGAATACCTCCCATCTGACCACTTTTGCCACCTCTGCTGCTACTACCCTGATCAAGCCACCATTCAGAAAAATGAGGACACATCTAAAAAACACCTTCACAGAAACATCTAGAATAAGGTCTGACCAAATGCCTGGGCACCATAACCTAGTCAAATGGACACATAACATTAACTATCTCATGATGTTCAGTAAATGATCAAATAGTGGATCTGTTCAAATAAGAGTTCAAATTGCTTGGTTTAAGCTAGTGTCATTGAAAGAAAAAAAAGGAGGGCCCCGAGCTGGGCGCCACCACCGGTTCATCTACCCTTTCCCCCAGCCACTTCCTTTCAACCTTGTTCACTGTCCGTGGCTCCTGTTCCTGCCACAGCTCTCTCCCCTTCTTCCCTCCCCAGGAGATCCCAGAGACCACCTGCCATGGCTTTACTCACTGTGGCCACCCAGCTCTTGGGAACCAAGAATACATCTTGTCTTGTTCTTGCTGCTCAGCATGCCAGTGCTTCCTCCGCAAATTTGAAAGACACGTTGGCTGACCTGATTCCTAAGGAGCAGGCCAGAATCAAGCCCTTCAGGCAGCAACATGGCAAGACAGCGCTAGACCCAATCACTGTGCGCACGACGCGTGGTGACGTCAGAGGCGCACAGGGAGGGTCTGTGAAACATCAGTTCTTGATCCTGATGACGGCATCCGTTTCCGAGGCTTTAGCATCCCTGAAGGCCAAAAAGTGCTACCCAAGGCTGACGGTGGGGAAGGACCCCTGCCCAAGGGCTTATTTTGGCTGCTGGTAACTAGACAGATTCCAACAGAGGAACAGGTATCTGGGCTCTCAAAACAGTGGGCAAAGCGGGCAGCTCTGCCTTCCCATGTGGTCACCACACTGGACAACTTTCCCACCAATCTACACCCACATCTCAGCTCAGTGCAGCCGGTACAGCCTCAACAATGAAAGTGACTTTGCCTGAGCATATGCAGCGGTATCAACCAAACCAAGTACTAGGAGTTGGTTTATGAAGACTCTATGGATCTAATGGCAAAGCTACCGTGTGTTGCAGCAAAGATCTACTGACATCTCTACAGAGAAGGCGGCAATATTGCGGCCATTGACTCTAAGCTGGACTGGCCCCACAGTTTCACCAACGTGTTGGACTATACTGATGGGCTACACTAACATGAATTCACTGGGCTCATGCACCTCTACCTCACCATGCACAGTGACCATGAGGATGGCAATGTAATGCCCATACCAGCCACTTGGCCCTTTCAGACCCTTACCTGTCCTTTGCAGCAGTGGTGAACAGGCTGTCAGGGCCTCTCCAGGGGCTGGCAAATCAGGAAGTGCTTGTCTGGCTAACACAGCTACAGAAGGAAGTTGGTGAAGATGTGTCAGATGAGAAGTTACAAGACCACATCTGGAACACACTCAACTTGGGACGGGTTTTTCCAGGCTATGGCCATGCAGTACTAAGGAAACTGATCCATGATATAACCCGTCAGTGAGAGTTTGCTCTGACACACCTGCCTAATGATCCCATGTTTAAGTTGATTGCTCAGCTATACGAGATTATGCTCAACGTCCTCTTAGAATAAGGTAAGGCCAAGAATCCTTGGCCCAATGTCGATGGTCAGAGTCGGGTGCTGCTCCAGTACTATGGCATGACAGAGATGACCTACTACGCGGTCCTGTTTGGGGTGTCACGAGCATTGGGTGTATTGGCACAGCTCATCTGGAGCCGAGCCGTAGGCTTCCCTCTAGAAAGACCCAAGTCCATGAGCACAGACGGTCTGATGAAGTTGGTAGACTCTAAGTCAGGGTAAAACTGGAGACTGAGGGAAAATGACTACCAGAAAGTGAGGAAGCCTAAATAAAAAGTATAATTTTGGAGCCGGGCGTAGTGGCCCACAACTGTAATCCCAACACTTTGAGAGGCTGTGGTGGGCAGATCACCTGAGGTTGGGAGTTTGAGAGCGGCATGGGAGTAAACCCCATCTCTACTAAATATACAAAATTAGCTGGGCATGGTGGCGCGTACCTGTAATCCCGGCTACTTGGGAGGCTGAGGCAGGAGCATCGCTTGAATCCAGGAGGCGGAGATGCGGTGAGCCAAGATCACGCCATTGTACTTCAGCCTGGGCAACAAGAGCGAAACTCCGTCTCAAAAAAAAGTGTAAGTTTGTTTCAGGGGGCCTTTAAAGACAAGATTAAGTTATATCTGAGGCACTGATAGTATGTTTGAGGTTAAAATATAAATAAGACTTTAAAAGATGAAAAATGATCCTTTCTCCCCTCGTCAGCTCCCTTCCCCTGCCTGGTCTGAGGTGCCCATCATAGGGGTGGTCCTGCAGGATGACCAGGACTAATGCAGGTGGTATGAGTTAGGTTTGCCCCCCACCCGACTGTCTAGAGTGAGAATCTGGCTCCTCTTTCCGTGGGTCAAAGCCGATTACCGAGAATCTGCAATCACTTCGGAGCTTCTGCTTCTTCTCTGCCAAGCCCTCAGCAAGCCAGCAAGCCAGGACTCTGCCCCTTCTGCTTCCGTAGGAGTCATGTCGGATAGTCAGCTGTACTAAGCCCCTTGACCCTCTCCCACGCACACAAACACCTCCTAGCAAGACCTAGTGGTTAGCTGGATGTGCTTTGGCAATTTTCATGCTACCAAGTGACCATAAAGGCATGGCATTTCTTGTGACTGGCACTCAATATTGGATTTCTTTTTTAAAAACTATCCAATGAAAATTAGGTCTGGGTGTGTTCTGTTTCCCATTACCTCCCAGACTTTCTGCACCTGTTGCACCGCAAGCTGAGGATGTTCTGGACCTCCCCCTCTGGGTCCCCACTAGATACCTCTCAACACACCCGTGGTCCCAGTCATCGGGTTTTCTCAGTGCTTAATGTGAGCTCAGTTTTTTACTTCCACAGAACAAAGCCACTACCCTCTGACCTCCCAAACCCCTGGACCCCCATCTTTTAATATGCTGTGGGGCATAAAACAGGGACTCAGGAATGCCCAGCATATATTCAGAGACCGGTCACTGGGTATTAGCACTTCTTTTTGAATGATTGATTCAAAACTGGACATAGTCTTCTCTAATTATCCAGTACTGGGGCTGCGGCACTAAAAATATAAAAACCTCTCTTCTCATCCCTTGCCTCAAGCAAATGTCCATGTGCACAGGTTTTCAGCAACTCAGAATACTTTTATTGCCTTTTTTTTTTTTTTTTTTTTTGAGATGAGATTCACTCTTGTCTCCCAGGCTGGAGTGCAATGGTGCGATCTCGGCTCACTGCAACCTCCGCCTCCCGGGTTTAAGTGATTCTCCTGCCTCAGCCTCCCAAATAGCTGGGATTACAGGCATGCAACACCACACCCGGCTAATTTTGTGTTTTTAGTGGAGATGGGGTTTCTCCATGTTGGTCAGACTGGTCTCAAACTCCCCACCTCAGGTGATCCATCTGCCTCAACCTCCCAAAGTGCTGGGATCACAGGCGTGAGCCAACTCGCCTGGTTGACGTTCTACTGCCTTTTCTTTGAGAAAGGTTTGAGCGACACTCCTGCTGTGCCCCCATCTTCCCTCCAAACTCCTGCCAGTGGATCCGGAGTCCCAGAACCACACTGTTGAGTTGGATACACAGTAAACCCCTGGGTAACTATCGAGTCATGATGCAGACTTCAGGTTGTTCTGTATAAAAAGCAAAATAAATGTTTTAATTAACAGAAAAAGAAAAACAACAACAACAAAAAAAACACATTTTAAAAAGTACATTCAGGCTGGGCGTGGTGGCTTACACCTGTAATCCCAGCACTTTGGGAGGCTGAAGGGGGCGGATCACCTGAGTCAGGAGTTCGAAACCAGCCTGGCCAACATGGTGAAACCCCATCTCTGCTAAAAATACAAAAATTAGTCGGGCATGCTGGCACGCAGTTATAATCCCAGCTACTCAAGAGGCTGAGGCAGGAGAATCGCTTGAGCCTGGGAGGCGCTGCAGTGAGCCAAGATCATGTCAGCCTGGGAGATAGGGCAAGACTCCATCTAAAAAAAAAAAAAAAAAAGTTTAAATTGCAGGGTTTTTTAAATAGACATATTTTTTCTCTAATGCTAATTGTATTTAAGGTGTTTTTGAAGAGTTAAATGAATATTTTTCTAAACTAGATTGTGGTAGTATTTATACAACTCTGTGAGGTTAATGAGAATTATTGATGTATACGCTTAAGATGGAGGAGTTTGTGGCATATAAATTATACCTAAATAAAGCTATTTTTTAAAATTGGGCAATAAATGAGGTCTTAATTATATAAAAACATTCTATTTCAGGAAGAACATTTAAACAGAAAATTCTGGGGCTGAGACAAAACTACACTTGATAGTATGCAATTATAAGTAGGATAAAATCAGGGGACACTTGAAAAATAGTATTACAGACAAAATCCTGAGTAGACACAGGAAAACAATCTTTTGAAAGTAATCTTTGGCCAGACACGGTGGCTCACACCTGTAATCCCAACACTTTGGGAGGCCAAGGTGGGTGGATCACCCAAAGCCAGGAGTTTGAGACCAGCCTGGTCAACATGGTGAAACCCCGTCTCTCCCAAAATTACAAAAATTAGCTGGGCATGGTGGTAGGTGCCTGTAATACCAGCTACTCAAGAGGCTGAGGCAGGAGAATGGCTTGAAGCCAGGAGGCGGAGGTTGCAGTGAACCCAGATCACACCACTGCACTCCAGCCTGGGTGACAGAGCAAGACTCTGTCTCAAATAATAATAATGATAATTAATAATAATCTTTTTAAAAGATAATAAGTTTTTAAATATAAATTTAAGTGACACCGAAAATATCAACTGCTTTTGGAAGGAAAGGGCTAAAATACACCCTTTGGATTTAGCCACAAAGAAGCCACTGGTGCCGTGACAGTGGCATCTCCCTTCGTGCTCAGCATCAGCCGGGCATCAGCACTGGGCTTCGGGAGGCACTGTGGAGGAGGGAGCTTCCTTCCCACCTTGTCTTCCTCCAGCCCCCTCTCTGCTCACCTCTGGGTCCCTCATTTTCTCCCAGCAACCACATTGTCATCAACCTGCCCTTTTCCTTATTTACTCTCCTTCCTTCTTTTCTTTTTTTTTTTTTTGAGACAAAGTTTCACTCTGTTGCCAGGCTGGAAGGGAGTGGCACAGTCTCGGCTCACTGCAACCTCCGCCTCCCGGGTTCAAGCGATTCTCCTGCCTCAGCCCACTGACTCTAGGAGCGTGCCACCACACCTGGCTAATTTTTGTATTTTTAGTAGAGATGGGGTTTCACCATGCTGGCCAGGATGGTCTCGATCTCTTGACCTCATGATCTGCCCGCCTCGGCCTCCCAAAGTGCTGGGATTACAGGCATGAGCCACCGCGCCTGGACAACTCTCCTTCTTTTTCCCTAGTACAGCCACCTTCTCTACTTTATCCACCTTTGCCAGTTTTTCTGGGATTTTTTTTTTTTTCCCGTTCTCTTAAAAATTTCCCATCCCCATGGCAGTGACCACAGTCATCGCAGTATTTTGACAGGTCTGAGATGAGACTCAGTGAGCCACTGTGTGCTCTCCTGCCCTGAATGTGATGCCCTTCTGACGGTCCCTGGACTGTGCAAGTTCACAGACACAGATGACCAGTCCCCTCCCGACTCAGAGACCCATCTGTGCAGCTCCCTTCTTGCGAGGAAGCTTAACTGGAGGAAGAGAAGACACAGCCCCTTTTGATAAATGTCTCCTGAATGCAGAGCCTGGCTGGTGGTAGGAAGGGTGGCAGAATGTGGAGGCTGTAAGGACATACCCCCCCCTAATTATCCCTTGGCCTAACGTCTATCATTCACTTGCTTCTCTAGTGCCTAGGAATGATGGGACTATCAAGGCAGTGCTGGAAGAACTGTGGGGACCCTGTCTGAAAGGCCTGGCCAGAGAACTGGAGCAGTCTGCAGCAGGGTCAGCAGCACAGAGAAGGCATCACCAACAGCAACAAAGCAGAGAAGGCATGGCACAGCCAACAGTAGGGCTGCTTGCAGCAGGTGCATCTCTGAGCATGTGCGAGCCCTCCTCTGCCTAGGCTTCCCATCTGCCCTTCTCTCCTCATCCAGGAGCCCTTCAAAGGAATGGCTGAAGAGAAGGACTCCCGGTAACATCAGCTAAGGGACATCTGGATTGTTGAGATTTGAGATTCTCTGTGAAGGTGATGCAGTATATAAACACACACTGAGTGGAGCCTGGGACATTCCAGAGACGTTGATATACAGTAAAGCTTTTTTTTTTTTTTTTTTTTTTTTTTTTGGAGATAGAGGCTTGCTCTGGTGCCCAGAGTGCAGTGCAGTTGCATGATCTCGGCTCACTGCAACCTCCACCTCTCGGGCTCAAGCGATTCTCCTGCCTCAGTCTCCTGAGTAGCTGGGATTACAGGCACACACCACCTAACCCGGCTAATTTTTTCATTTTCAGTAGAGAAGGGGTTTCACCATGTTGGTCAGGCTGGTCTTGAACTCTTGACCTCGTGATCCACCTGCCTCAGCCTCCCAAAGTGCTGGGATTACAGGCGTGAGCCACTGCACTCGGCCCAGCAATTCATTTTCATACATTTGACATTTATCCAGTCACTTTCCCAAGCTCATGGATACTGGCAAAGCTGATTTGTTTATTTGTTTGTTTTGAAACAGTCTTGCTCTGTAGTCCAGGCTGTAGTGCAGTGGCACCATCCTGGCTCACTGCAAACTGTGCCTCCCAGATTCAAGCGATTTAGAGCCTCAGCCTCCCAAGTAGCTGGAATTACAGCTGCGCCACCAAACCCAGCTAATTTTTGGAT